CTTCCGATCTAAATGGAACAAAATATGCATAGCATTCACCACTTATATGACTCGTGTGCTATAATTCCATAATATAAAAATAGTGTTGGTTATATTATACCGTGGAACATTGTAATATAGGAATGGTTGCTAGCTGAAAGATGACATTCTGGTAAAAGAACTGTTTCACAAGCTTAACTATACATGATTAATTGATTAATTAAAAACCTGTCTTACTTGTTTTTGACCATTAAGGTTGCAAGATTGGCTAATTTCCCAGAAGACTTGGTCTTAAAAATGGTGAAGGAGAAGAAGATTCCTAATTTCCTATCTCCTCACCAATAATCTTAATTATTTTACCTACTGGAAAGACATCATTGGCTTTAGTAACTGATTTGTTTACAATTGGGAACTTCTGGTGCTACAGTATATGAGTATAAGTTGTCTTAATTATATTTCTTCATTTGTGTATTCCTACAATACATGACAAATTACTTTCCCAAACTTTACTAAATAACCTTTTTGGCTACAAACCGAAACAGTATACAGTATTTGACATTAAATTGCAATGCAAGTATTCCTTCAGTCTTGTGAATGTGATGCAGAGCATCTCATTGTACTCTGTATTCTGTCATTTATTGTATTCCATGTCCAACAATTAGACTCCATTACAATGGAATATGTTTTAATCTCTGTTTGGATCCCGTGTAGATGAGGCACACAATGATATGAATGTGGTTTCTTGAAATTGTGGTTCCTTGCTAGGGGATACGGTAGAGCACTGTCAAATGATATTCTCCATTATGTGCCTTCTACATTTGGGGATTCTATTTGGAGGTCCGCCAATTCGCATGGTTGAACACGTAAGAATACTTAGTTACATGTATTATCACATTTGCTAATATCAACCTGCAAATAACAATGTTCAAGTGTTAGCTGGGTATGTCTTTCAGAGACATTAGCACGTGGTCGGGCTCGAAGCGACACACCTTCGGAAGCCACAAAATAATACATGGGCTTGAAAGATGTTAATTATGGTTAACACATTAAAAAATACAATGTTCCTAATGCTCTTTTAGTCTTTTTTATTTTATTCTGTCTAATTGAAGGCAATTAGCATAGTACACATAGCATATTACCAGGTTAACAGAAATATGGCTATGTAAAAACTCACAAATATTGTAGCTCGATAAACTCAACTCCAAAACATTTTGTGTTACTCAATACTCATTAGGGTTATCGAAGCAACTATACTTTTCGGCTGCCAATGCTTTTGTCTACTCATAATGTACGCCTCTGGATTAATATTTAATGAGCGCTAGCTGTATGAGTGGAATACTTTATTAGACAACACACATCACGTTTGGCAGATGGAAAACCTTAAATACAATTAAATCTTTCAGTGGTAAATAATAGAATGCATGACTGGTTTATAGCAAATCAACAAAGCATGAAAGTTTGTGCTTTAAGTACATGATTCAGTTCGAGCGAATACTGTATCTGTTATTAGTTCTGTTATTATCTGTTATCAGTTCGAGTGAATACTGTATCTGTCAACTAGTGTACTCGCGCGTCTATATAACCCAAAGTTCAACAAAGCAAAACAAAATATATAATCGTTTCATCGTTTGCTTTTTGTTAATACGGCATTTATACAGAATATATTATACAGTATGAACATACCGCATTACACGTTTTATCCCACAACTGATATGCGATGTTTTATCACTTTGCGCACTTTCTCAACAGCGAATAATATTTGCTGGCAAGTTCATTATATGGCAGCTTGCTTCTTCCTTGACCCTGACCAGACCTTCCTGAATTTTTAGTAAGGATATCGCCTTGGTTTGTCTTTCTCTTCTCTCGAACCTTTTGCGCTTCTTACGGGCTGTCCTCGTTCTTTTTTTCTGTTGGTTAGGGCTGTGAATATGCCGTTTAACTAAAGTAGGCTTTTCTCACACAACGGTTGTTATTAGGCATAGATGTCGGTATAAACTGCGCGCGATTTTGCGCCAAATAAGTTTACTAATGCATAGGTCTGGTTTGACGTCATCATGCCCATATTTGGTGAGTGCGCAAAGTTAATTGCATTCACCTTGTCTGTCGTATTCATGCATGCAAAGATTTATATTTCTTAGGCCGCGTGTACACGATACCAGACAGATTTTCATTTACCAGACAAAAGTTTAAGTATTTGACCACTTATCCGTACAAGTTTTTGTCCGTCACGAAAGCGTACCAGTTTCAAAATGTATCGACCAGACAAATGTTTGTTCGGTACTATATGTAAGCGCAAAATCGGAACAAATATTTGTGCGACTACATCTCGGGAAACCTGGAACGTAAACAATGCCCCGAGCAAAGTCTGATCACATCCGAATTCCGCCAAGCAAAGAGCGAATCTATCCAGTACGAAGTATGTCGGAGGTCTATTGTCGTTAGCAGTTCAAATTTTTCGCAAAAAGAATGTATGCTTCGACAGCTGTGAACAATGATAGCGCACAGGCATACCACAGGAATATGCAGACAAATATTCGACCGACATTGCAATCAGTATACAGGTTTCTATCGAAATAGAAATTGGTCTGGTGCCATGAAAATAGAGTGGAATGGTTTGAACCATGCAAATGGCCCAAAATAATATTTCTTTTCAATCGTATGCTTCCATAAAGTTTTAATTATTATAGGGAATGCATAATGACTAAAATGTTTACATCATTACAAGGACATAATTTACTCATTTGAGCGAGCAAAATAACCGCTGCATTTCATCTGCAACATTGAAAACCATATTTAAAGAGCGCCATGGCGCTCAAATAAGTACGAAATTAGTAAATTACGGTGTCCATACAATACATGCACGAGATAACAAAATAAATAAATAGTACTATAATACAATTTTATCCACGACTTCTTGTGTGCGCCTTGCGGTATTAATCTGTTTGGTTTTTGATATGGAGATATCCAAATAGAGAAGGAATTTTCAAGTATTTTATCTAGCTATTAGCTAAACATAATATGCTAACACCTGAAATTTGTTTACAGACATCTTGAATCATCAAATTCCATCATAAATTGCAGTAGGGATTCACTTCTTATTATGTTGTTATCTATTCCACTTCCAATCTGAAGCATTCAAAGGAATGTTTAACTTTACAAACTATGTTGTGGAAACACGTATGAGATGAGATTATAATATTCCAAGTGTGAATATTAGGTGAATATGTGTCATATTCACGGCATATTCACGCTTGGAATACTCTGCAATACTGTGCCGTATTCACACTAATATTCCACGTCAGAATACTGTTGCAATATGCGTTTTCTTCTAACCCGTATAGACATGTGAATACCTCGGAATACGTCGCTTTTCATGCAGTGTAAGACTTACTTGCAAGGAATTTAAGAACAGTCTTGAATTCTGTTGGAAGTTTCTACCAAGACTTGCTTAAAGATGTTTATGAAATAGTGCAGGGATTCGGTCTGTCCATTTTCGTCATTCCAGGCGTAGGTCCCTTTGGTTTTTCCACCTTTTTCTTCTCCTCCAATACTTTTTCTTCCATCGGTTCCTCTAGTTCTTTTTCCAGTTGTTCTTCTAATTCTAAAGCAGAAGGAAATTCACAATATCCTTCATACTTTAGATCAATCTTTGGTAGCATGCGTTTAGACTCGGGAATGTCTTTATGACCCAATGCCAGCGTATGAATCTTATCGTCTAAAATATACCGTTTGTCATCTTTGGCCGAAAGTGCTGTTTTTACTAAACGTTCGGTATAAATTGTATGTTTGTGACTACTAAGAGTCGTCATCCCAACACGTCGATCCATTTCGTCAAACAAAACATCTTTATAATTCTGATGCGTCAAATCTTTTTTCACGGCGCATTTTTTTACACCCTTACATTTTTTCGTCACTTCTCCATCATCGTTGAGTGTAGAATAAGACTTTGGACGTAATCCTACAAATTCTTTAATCTGACCCGCACCCGTTTCGGATTTCATCATACCGATGACTTTCTTGTTAATTCCACATGGAATTCCAGACGGATGAGATTTTGGAAAATTACTTGTATCAAATTTCTGATGAACGTCTGGAGAAATGTCTTTGAAAAAGTCGTCGGTCGTTATCTCATAATGAAGCGAATCCGTATCTGTGAAAAGAAGTTCTGCTTTCTCTCCATATTTTTTTTTACGTAATTGTAGTGAAAATCATACATCAACGTCTTGCTAATATCCAGGATAGCAACACCTACGTAAATAGGTTTTGCTAAGCGAACGGTCGTCTTTCGCATGTGAACCAACGCTAAGTGCTCAGTGTAAATGTCTGTTGAGACGTAATAACTTTTTTTCACTAATTTATTCCACTTCTTTTCATCGTTAACGAGCTTCACGTTGATACGATTACGAACATTTTCCATCGTCTTTCCAAACACCGAATTATTCATCAATTTGAAAAAACTACTTTCAAAATCAGACCTGGCTTTTTTACGCAAGTCGGTATTCAACTGAATATAATCTGCCATCCATGCTCTTTCCGAAAACATCAGACCGCGCTGAACTTTTGTTACGATCAATCCTAATTCCACATATTTCTTTAACGTCCTGTGATGAACAATATACTTTTTCTTATCGTTTAAATTCGGAACTAGTTTATCTACCTTTCCTATCCGAAGACGTTCCGGAGCCAACGGATATTCGCTGTGCAGATCATGTAATTCTTCCGGATATTTTAAATCTACTTCTACATAGCAACCTTTCCCATTCGGAAGATTCTCCCATTTTTTCAAAGTGTCTAAATTCATCCATTCAAAATTCCCGTAAGGAAGTTTTTCACACATTGCCCAACCATATAAATTGTTCGCATCCAAGTAGGGTAAAAATGTACTTTTCTCTTTCAGATCAAAATTCTTCGTATACTTATTATTTGCAACGGCGTATCTTTTACTGATCATACAAATCCCACCACGCTTTGCCTTTTCGACAAAATTAAACATGACCGGATCGGAAATTAAATCTAAACAAACTCGTGTTACTTTGAGACATGCATCCCATGCTAATCCCGGCGACGTATAATACCATGCAGGATCCAACTTGTAATTCTCCATACAGATCTCACGAAATCTTTCCATGATGTCTGCCAACAACAACACGTCCACTTTCAGGTAAAGATCGTGATAATCACGTACGGTTTTCATGTTAAATGACTTCCATACTTTTTTCGCATGTTCATAATCTTCATCTGTAATATCTTCATCCGTTAAACTACTGTAAAATCCTTTTCGTGGTGGAAGAGACGGTTCGGAAAATTTCCGAAAATTATCCATCCATTCGTACGGATAAACACCTTTCCGTTTTAACATTCGACGTTGATCCGACGTGTAATTTCCCATCATTCCATCAGTTAACTTAAAATCATCCTCTTCCAAGTCTTCTGCAAGATTTCCTAACGACGATGCCATGAATTTGAACGAATCCAAAAACCGTAAATTACGTTTAACATCAGCCGTTTTTTCCTCGATAAAATTTCCTTCCTTATCTCTCACATCATAGGTACATGTTCCAACCTCAACTTTCTTCGTAAACGAAATATACTTTTCAGACGTCTGTGCGATACAGTCGACATCACCTTCACTTGCCCCAAAACATTTTACAACATGATGTGCATCATAACCTGCAAGATTATGGAAAAAGACCGGTATAAAATCTGGGTTTCTCATTGCTAAATTACATCGGTTACATGCTGCGCCACGATACGTACCGGTGTAATGACAGTGATCCCTCACCTTTTGATTGTTTTCCGTAAACGGTCCGCGACATGCATAACACGACTCGGACGATGCAAAATCCCTGGTATCGTTCGGTTTCATTTTAATCGGAACAGAAATCTTAAATCTTTTGTAAATTTCTTTCGTATCCTTTTCCAGCAACTCGTAAAATCTTGCCATCACGTCTTCGTTCTCGTGTTGCTGTGTGTAACTTACATATTTCGACGGATAAATATCGTCGTCGAAACATTTGATCAGATATGCAAAACTACACGCTTCGTGTTCCTGTGTTCTTTTCGTACTCGAATAATCCAAACTTTCTTTCGCGTTGTAAGAAAGAGGTTTTAATAGAGATTCCGTGTCCGCATACACCACAAATGGAACGTTGTGAATCCTATGGTAATTTTTAAATTTTAAAGTGCTATCTTCTTTCGGATACAAACATGTTTGTGCTTCGTGATCCAAACATAACTCTTGATGTTTTTCAAGTAACTTTTCAGATCCGAAAGGATTCAAACAATTGTTACAAATATACTTCCTATGTTGTTTCCCACTCAACTGTTTTCCCATAAATTTCGACAAGTCCGTGACGACACCAAAATGTTCATCCCATAGTACCAAGTTAATCGAATCTAGTCTTCCTAAAATATACCACGGATAAATTTTCAAGGACTCGTCAAATGCAAAAACATTAATGTGAACACCTGGATTCTGTCTTTCGAATTTTACAATATCCCTTTTCCCAGTCGGAAAATTTATACCATCCCAGTTTAATTTCTCCGCCTGAAGACGAAGAATTTCTGTAATGCGGGCAGGATTTCTTTTCACAGGATTCAATGCACGTGTCACCGCCCACTTGAAACATTGATTGTCGGTATTTTTCATGTTGATGATCCCTTTACTTCTCATATATCCTTTTGGTAATTCAACAAACCCAGAACCACGGGCCGGATCATATTCGTCAATCTCAATCTCTAACCGAACTATTTTGTCCAACACCCAATCACTACCGTTTTTCTGATATTTTGCAAAAGATTCTAATATCTTCTCTCGCATCTCATTCCAAATCTCATCTCTTAAACTTCGTCCTGTAATCCCATAAGTTTTTGATGAAAAACCAGATAAGTCTCTCGTCACTTCTCCTGTAACCTCATTCACTTTTTTCATAATACAAACTAAAGTCACTCGTACTTTTTTCGATCCGTCGATCCAATCTACAAGATCACAAACATGACGACCGGTCATATCCAAAAAATAAGGTGGATCGTATATCTTTTTTGGTGTGATCGTATACACTTTCGCATGTCTTCTAAATGCATGCTGTTCCAAAACAGGTGTAAAATCTTCGCCGCGAATTTTCATCTCGTCCGACATTAATTTACGATAACGAACCTCTGCATATTTCTGACGTGCCTTTGCATTCTTGCGAAGTCTTTGTGTTTCCTTCTTCCATTTCTGAGCATCGGATTTCCAATAAGATACTTCCTTACGAAGTCTTTTCTCCTCTTTTGCAATGTCCTTTTCCCATTTTCCTTCGTCGCGAAGTTTCCATCCCGTCTCCCTCTTATTCTGCCTCCATCTCCTCTCCTCCTTCTCACGTTGTTTTCGACGATCCTTAAATTCTTTCGCCGTAGATTTAATACTTTTTCTAAAATTCTGCTGTTCTTGTACAGGACGATCATTAGTCGTATTTTCCTCACGAACTGACCGAATATTTTCTGCCCGGGGTCGATCGTAAAAATCTAGGTTCCTACTTGCCATTTTATTATACAAAAAAAATTTCCATACTCCGAACGAGTATGGAAAAATGGCAGATAGGAACCTCGATTCTGTACTTTTTTTCTTTTTCTTATACTCTTTTATTTATATAAGGTATTGTGGGAATTTTTTTTTTTTTTTTTTTTCACTTGGTACAAATACTTTGTACGAGTTCTGGGTGATGGTATGCATCGCGAACAATCTCAGAATAATCCTCCTGTGCAAAGTCTTCAATAATTCTAGTTGTCGCTTCGTCGAATATAGGAAGCGGGTCTTTATAAAAAAGAACTTTTCTCTCTATACGTAGCATTCTAACACCACCCTTAAACAAAAATTTAGGATTAAACTTGTATACCTCCCATGAATTATACTTTGGTGATAATGATGAATAACAGCAGTCGCGACAATGTCTATCAAATCCTTTCTGACTGTTAAAAGATATCAGACACCGATCACAGAATATTCTAGACTTCTGGTGCTTACTTATCTGACTCGACCATAAGCGACTGATGTTTCTTACCGGATAATGTATACCATCATGGTAAAATAGCGTTATGATCCTTTCATAACTCCATCCTGCCACTCTTAATGCTGTAATCCTATCACCCGATAAACCAATTATATTTAAGCCTATCTCATTATCATCTACAAACGTACGAATGTTTTTCGGTGGTGTTGGAAACATAACATTTTCCCAGTTCAGTTTCTCTGCTTGAAGTCGAAGGATTTTTGTAATTCGACCAGGATCCTTTTTCACCAAATTCAATGCACGCGTTACCGCCCATTTAAAACTCTGATCATCATTCCCCTTCATTGTGATTAATGATCTCTTTCGCCTCAAAAATTCAGGTAACACCATTCTTTATTACTAGATTTTTTTATTTACATAAATACTTGCAGGTTCTCTCTCGATTTTCTACCCACCCTACTTTTCACCAATCTCGTGTAGAAACACACGCCGTCGAAATCTTGTGGAAAAGCCCCGGGGATGACTTCCTGGGAAAAGTCCCGAGGAAAGTCCGGGGGAAAGTCCCTGAAAAGATCCCCTTGGACAACCCCGGAAAATCCCTGAAAAGATTTTGGGGAAAAGACTCGAGGACGATTTGGGGACGGGACTGAGGGGGCTGAAGGGCCAAGGGGCTAAGGGACTGAAGACACTATATTTTTCTTACATGAAGTATACAGCAAGTTTTCATTTCGGCCGTAAGGTACTACTAATATTAATTATAGCTAGCAATAGCCATATTGTTCAAGACGAGAGAAAGGAAATTTCGAGTGCAGCTTGGATGCAGAGCTTTGCCTGTAGTTGAAAATCTCCAGAAATATCGGTATATCTTAGAAAACATAGACGGGATCTTCATAGATTTCAGCTGATTCGTGCCAAATTTTGCTCTATACACATAAATAATATCGATTGAGAAGTTTTTTGGCTATTTATTTGTTTCGCAGACTAGCATATTTCATTAAAGAATATCTCGCCACTCCTTGACGAGTAGCTGTCAAATACTGCCATTTTTTGGGTGACATGTGACCGGCCCAGACCAGG